CCCCCCCCCCCCCCCGGAAGTGATCTCTTGAGTTTCAGGTCGAGAGACACCAACAGAGCAACATAGGTGAAGCTGCTCCTCAATTAACTGCAACAAACCCATTCTGGAGAAAAAACCCAGAGGGTTTAGATTTTGATTCAGCTGAACATGTAAGCATTTTTTCATGTTCCACTGACACAAAATCAGGAACATGCTTCAGAGCTCTGCTGAATCTGATGTGCAATTTTCCAGCAAGGTTAGTGCAACACCTGAGAGCACAAAGTTTCTTGCTTAAAAAAATATTGGAAGTCAGAGCACTTGATTTCAGGCCAATGCAGTTAGGACCTTTTGCAGACTGTGGGCTGCTCCTCACCCTGAGGACAGCAGTGGAAATACTTCACCTTGATGGTAAATGCTTAAATGTTTCTTAAATTTGACAGTGTTTTGAAGATGTCTTTGATTTTTCCACTAACAAGTTGTTCAACTGTTTAGAAAGGAGGTTTCTCTTAAAAGATTTTTAAACTGAATGGCTGAGGGAGCAGCTTGACATTTTCCTTGGGGATTTGGTGATATCATAAACCATAGGCTTTGCTGTAATGGTCTGTGGAATTGTTATGGGTACAATTAAAGAAATTATTACAATATATAGCTGTTTAGAGGCTGTGGACTCAGCTGTGTTAGCAAAAAAGGCAGAAAATTAATTAAAAATTAATCTGATAAAGAAGAATGGGAAATTACAACTTTTTTTTTTTTTTTTTTTTTTTTTTTTTTTTTTTTTAATACAGGGAACCTTTAGCCATGTCAGATGTGTACATTTGGAAGTGTTGATATAAAATGTATTTCTTCTCTGTAGTGAATGTTTTTGAATTCTTCTAAGTGTTTCAATCAAAGCTGTGCTTTAAGATGCAGAATTTTGAAGCAGTGCCTAGATACTAAAATACGCGTTTTGTTTTACAGTACTGGCAGTGTCTTCATGGGTTTCTTAGTTGTGGTGAATGATTTCTGCAGTTAAAAGAAACTTTGTAAGGAAAAAATAACCAAAACCTGAATTTGTGTAAGTACAAATACATAACAATGCTAATCTAGATAAATGATGTAAACTGTTTAATAAAAATATTTACCTTCTGTTTCTTGGACTTAGTCTGTTATGTATACAGTTACAATTAAATCTTTGAATACCTCTGTAGGTTGTTCAACAGGTTGAGGGCTGGTAGAAAAATGAAATAACAATTCTCTGTGCTGGAAGGCTTCTGAAAAGCTCTGCATAAGGATTAGTTTCAGATGGTGGTGCTCCCCATTTTATGCAAGTGTCACACGAATTTCCAGTAGACAGATGATTTTCAGCTGTGAATACTAAGATCAAAGTCTTTAGTCTGTTTTTCTGAAGCACTAAACACTAGCTTGAAAAACCAGGATCCACCTCTGGGGTCTTGATTCTAAAACAAGCTGAAGACTCTTGTTGTCTGGCTTTGCTTTCCTAGCCATTTGCAGTACAAGTCTGGCTTGCTTAACTCTGTGAAATGAATGCGAGTGTGTAACAAGGCTCACTGTACCTGCTGCTGAAAGACAGGTACTAAATCAGCATGAAGGAACTATTTACTCTTCTTTGGATGGGATTCATGTGAAACAGGTTTCCACACAAAGCTTATGCCATTCTGAATGTCCATAGCTGTTCTGTGACTTCAGTTTCCCTTTGAAATTAATACCCATCCACACTGTGCATGCTTTCAATCTGGTAGATTTGTGTTCTACATATTCTCTCAGTCTTCTCTTGCTGTAAAGAATGTGGCTGTTTGATAGGAAGGGTGTTAGATTGGTGTTTCTGAGGATATGTGTACAGCTTTTCAGCTGTCCTGTTTTCAGAATCTATGCTGCTTGTATCAGTATATAGCAACATCAATACAAGCAACATAACATTTAAAAAAATATTTTGTTCACAAGTGAAACAAAGGTCTAAATGGCAAATCTTCAGCTGATACTGTCATACTTTGAATGCATTAAAATGAATTTCTGGCTTTCAAAGCAGCTTGCTTGTCCACTGTTACTGCACTGATTTGGTGGAACTAAATGTCATCATTTGAGCACCTGCTCTATGCTGACTAGTGCTGTATGAAATCCACAAACTCAGGCTAGGGGGAGCAAGGAAATGTCCAGATTAACTGAGAGGTCCTCGCCTGACCTCCCACACCCCTGACATCAGTCACATTCCTACAGGGCACTCCAGCACCTTCTGCCTCCTGCCTGTTTGTTAAACAGTACCCCATGGGAAGTCCTCCTCCATATTTTTTGCCTCCCTTTAAGTGCTTTGCTTAAAATGAAAATCCAACTTAAATTTACTAGTGAAACTTTACCTGATATTTTTCCCTAACATTTATACTGAATTAGAATGCAAAGCCAGTTGAACAAACAACATCCCAAATTCATTATGAAGCACACTTAAAGATGGTTTTATTAAATTATATGTTATTCCATGCAAACTGACCGATTCAAAGGGAAGAAATAAACGCAAACATCTAAAGCCTCCTTCTATTATGCTATTGAAAGAAAAAATGTGCTGTGGTGCTGTTTAAAAAAAGCTGAAGAACTAATTACCATCAAATAAGATGCAGTAGGAGTATTTTTAGAATAATGGACTCTAATTAGTCCGTTGCTCGTTGAAATAAATCTGAGGACATCATTAACACATCTTATTCTAGTAATTGTAGCTGCTCTGGGTTTGGTGTAAGTGGGTTGTTATCTCGTGACAGTTGCATTGCAAAGAAGGAAAAAAAAAAAAAAAAGAAAAAAAAGAGAATTTTTATCAGGGGTAGTTGGCTGCGTGTCTCCTGGGAGCCGAGGGAGCTGTAATTAGCCTTTCTGAGAGAGCCCTTTGGGCCTTGCAAGGCAGCCGCTGGTCCGGGGGCGCGGGGCAGGGGGTCA